AATATGTTTGTGAAAAAATAAATAAATAACATGAAAGAAAAAATATTTTAAAGAAAGAAAAAAATATTTAGATACTATTTGAATCAATTCGAATTGATTCAATCTACATAAAATAAAATAAATTATTTTTATTAATTATGAGATTTAAACTAATAATCTCAAAAGTTAGGCTAAAAGCCTAAAAGTAATATCACTAAACTAAATATATATTTTTAATTATAATCTAATATTTTCAATTTGATCCTAATAATACATTGAAAAAATAAATAAAGGAGCAAAGTCTCATTTCTCTTATTACTTACCTACCATCTCCATTTTCCTTCTTCTTTATTTTTTTCCAACATCAATATTCCCTTCGTTTAGCCAAACACAAATTTGACATTTAACATTTATCAAATCTACATTTATACACGATGAAGAATCTACTTACATCGGTGTAAAGCCAAGTGAATTTTATTAATATATATATATATGATATTTTAACAATTCGATCATTGAATTTATTAATATTATTATACTCGTCATGTGTGTAAATTCGAATCAATTAGATATCTTTATCATGTCGACTTAAAAGTAATGTCTTTATTAATATGTAATTATATAATTTACACTAACGACCGCTCGAAATTTCTTTACTTGACTTGTAACATTCACATTTTCCTCTAACACTTGATCATCAGAGTACAAAAGTAAACCCCCTAAGCCCACAAGTATTAGTTAAAGGCTTTTAATTCAGCTGCCAAACCCTCCTAATGGCCTAAACAGCTTCAGCAATCTCCTCAGTGCTCAGGCACATATTAGGCGAGAGCTTTAACTACCCTTCACTTAATTCAAACCATTTCTCACTACTAATTGGACCCAAAAGTATTGCACAATATGGCTAAAAAATATTAAGATAAGCCATGTCACCAGACAGTAGCTGAGAAAACAGAAAAGTGACCAAAAAAATCTAATGTTCAAAGTTTAGTGATTAAATTGATTTTTTTTTAAATTTTAATGAAAAAAAGAGTGAGAAGAAATTTGTAATTTACCCTAATAATAATAACATTAATAGAAAATATATTTGATTAGAATAAATTTACATATTGTTTATAATATGTTTTTGATATAATTGCCTATATCCTTGAGCTTTCCCGTCAACAAGTAGTTGTTTCTGTTGAGGGATTGTTTTTTCCGGACTATATATTGTACCTTAAACTCGGAATAATTTATTTATTTATTTTCATTTCATAAAAAAATAAATTAGTTGACCTTATTCCCATATGTAGTGGGGTGAATAAGAGATAAGATAGTAGGTTGCTCCCAACTCCATGTTGAGAATAACTTCTGTGGAAGACTTATATTCAGATTTTATTTGTGACTAAAATTTTAATTGTATCTACTTGTAAAAAAATTTGTGTTACTAACCTATGTGTGCCTATCTCAAAAATTATTTTTGAATCCACCATGAATTAAATAAATTGGATCGGAAGAGTTACCTTCATTTATACATTGTTTAATCCGGATTAATCGATTAAGATCGAATTCCGATAGATATACCAAAAAGAAAAAGAAGTTGAATAAAATAAAATGCCAATAGATCTCGTTAATGACAGTCAAAATGCAGCACTAAAACATATGAAAAAGCATCCCATGTGGTTTAGAAACTAGCCTTAATGGACACTGAATCTCAATTTCTCAGTAACCTGCCTTATTTAGTTCTCTTTTTATTTATCAATATTTTTTCCTTTAAAGCTTAAATCTCCAAATCTTCTTCCTCACGATCCAATTCACAATCCATCGTTTCACTGTTTTTTAATGTTTAAATCCAAATAAATGATGAGCGAAAACAAAGGAGGGGCCAAAAGGGCAAAATAAAATTTTCGAAAGAAGAGAAGAAAAAGTTATTGAAGGCATTTGGCTTTGGGTTCTTGATTGATTAATTTTGTTTTTTCAAAGGTACAATCTTTTAGTAAAGAATGTTTTGTTTGGATTTGAAGGGAACAATCTAGAAAAACACAGATGGGTGGTGTTGCTATTGATGGATTGTGGTCTCTTTGCTTTTCTTCTCTTTGGAAGAACAAAATGTGAGCTTTTCTTTCTCTTTGACTGTATAAACTTGAGATTGACTTCATACTACTGTTAGTTTTTGGATCGCCCATTGCTTGAATTCATACATTTTTTGGGTAATTTTAGTGTCTCACTGTCTCTTTTGTTTTTAAATTTATTATCTAGGAATTTGATTGGCTGTTTGGCGAGATTTTTAAAACGGGGTTAGTGAAATATAGGTGGGTTTTGGGTTTTGAACAGTAATTTTTTGTTTCTGAATTCTGGGTTTATGTTTCTTAAATTATTCTGTTGGATTTTGATTTCACTCTTGGTTTATGCAGATGTCTTGAAATCTCAAATGCTGGATTGTTTTTTTTCTCTTTTTGATTCTTCTAATCTGTTTTTATGTGGCTAAAAGCTTGAACTTCACTGTAATTTGATAATATTGCATTGATCATCGCAGTGTAACATGTTTACTAGATATGAATTATGCATTCTTTGGATCTTCTATTTGAGTTCTATTAATGCATTTTTTGTTCTTGAGTGATTCTCCATTTGAAGCAATCTTGTCCTACCGGTGGGCTCTTCTCCACTCATGGAATCTCGATGCAGAAACTACTGCAAGAATTCAAAAACAGTTTGCTATTTTTCTATTACATTCTGGAGGTGAAGCAAGCCCCCCGAACCTCCTGTCCCAAATGGGCAGTTCATTTGTTCCTGGTAATAACATAGAGGAAGCTGTGCTCCTGCTAATGATTCTACTAAGAAAAGTTTCTCTAAAAAGAATTGAATGGGATCCATCGATTTTGGATCATCTGTCATTTGCTCTCTCCATATCCGGTGATTTCAAGGCTTTGATTAAGCAAATAAAAGAACTGCTTCCAGGGTTTATTAATCACAAAGAAAGATATCGTATTTTATCCCTGAGTTACCATGGGGCGGGTGAAGATTCGGTTGCTTTGACTATATTGCGAAATATGTTGAACAGTAACGAGGATCCACAATTTTGTTCCAGCATTATTGATGGCTTCTAGAATTTGTGGGGAAAAACCTAATCTTGCCGAAGAAGGGATTAATTTTGCTTGTAGAGCCCTTGAAAGCCTGGAAAATGGATGCAAGGAGTTGGAAGGCACTGCTAACCTTTTATTGGGCGTGGCATGTTCAACTCGTTCGAAGTCTGTCTTATCTGACGTTGAGAGGGTTACAAGACAGTCTAAGGCCCTGCAGGCTTTGGAAAGTGCTCGAAAAATTTCAAGTACGAAAGACCCCATTATTCTTTATAACCTTAGCCTGGAAAATGCCGAGCAGAGAAAGCTGGAAGCTGCACTTTATTATGCAAAGTCTTTGCTAATAGTAGAAGGTGGTTGTTGTTGGCGCGTATATTGTCAGCTCAAAAATGTTTTGTGGATGGTGAAATCGTTGTCAATGCTGCCTTGGATCAAACCGGGAAATGGGATCAAGGCGAATTGTTGCACACTAAAGCTAAGCTTCAAACTGCACAGGGGGAGCTCAAGAGTGCTGTTGAGACATATAGTCAGCTTCTTGCCCTTCTTCAAGTACAGAGTAAATGCTTTGCTTCAGGGAAGAAACATCATAAGATCTGTTAAGTGCATAGCATTCTTTCGATTACCTATAGATTTAATCGATTTCTATTTGTCTTGGAAGTATCTGAAATGGTTCTCCTACCAAGTTGACTTGGGTAATGCATTAGTTTACGTTATAAGTTGATAAGTTAGAAGGTGAAGTTTCAGAAACGATCTCCGGTACCATCCTTCTTGCTATAACTCGGGTGCTTGCCGATGGTATGAATTTAGGACCTTTTACATTAGAAAAGTAGGTTGTAAATGGCCTCATATATATATATATATATATATATTTGAAAGGATGTAAATTGCCTTTTAGGGTATATGAATGAGGGTAATTATCCATTTTAACTTGAGAAACGCTGCATGTTCTTAGAACATTAAAATCGGAGTCTGCAGAGTATAATGCTCTTTCTTCTGTCAGATATCGTTTCTCAGGATACACCCCTTATGGCAGCTAATCTTTTCAAATGACTGTTTACAGGATCTAAGATACCCTTCTGCAAGTTTTGAACAGGAAATATGGCATGATTTAGCTCATCTCTACATAAGCTTGTCGCAATGGAGAGATGCTGAGATTTGTCTTTCGAAGTCGAAGGCCATCGATTCTTACTCTGCTGATAGAATTCATGTCACAGGTAACTAACTATATTCTTCCCTTAATTTACGTTGTTGTCCGAGTTAATGTAAGACGTTTTATTTCGCAGGTGTATTGTATGAGAGAAAATGCCTGCTAAAAGAAGCTCTAGAAGCTTTTCAGGCCGCCCTGGATATCGATCCGGATCATGTCCCGAGCATGATATCGACCGCCTGTTTGCTCAGACGAGTCAGCAGCCAATGCAACGCAGTCGCGAAAAGTTTGCCGATGAACGCTCTTCGAGTCGATAGAATGAATCCGTCGGCATGGTACAATCTGGGTTTGCTTCACAAAGCGGAAGAAGAAGAAGGCGTTTCATCAATGGAAGAAGCAGTTGAATGTTGGAAGTTTTACATTATTCATAAATGAAAATTCATGATTTAAGAAATTCATACATCGCTAATATGATTATAAAATGATTTCTTACCAAAATATCTTCAATACCTAATCTTATTTTTAATTTCCAGACTCTTGGAAAAGAAATGTAAAATTTGGCCGAAAAGTAATTAAGGGATTTTAGAGTAAGCTTTGGAATTTTCTTTTCCAAATGCTGAAAATCAATCTAAACAGGGATCTTGATCAAATTTAATGTTTGATCAATCAAAGCCATATTCTTCTTTATAATACAAATTTTCAGCCAGATTTTCTCTTCAAAGAAAATTGAAACCTCTAATTTTTTTCTTTTAACAAAATGATCCTTAAATTCCTTAAATTTGATCAGTTTTATCAAATTAATCCTTTAACTTGATCATTTTAGTTAAATTAACCTGTGAACTTTTATTAATAACTTATAAATTGAAGGGTAAATTGAACACCCAAAAAGGTTCAAGGCCCAGTATATATATATATTAAAAATATTTTTATACATGTTTAAATTGTGTGTCTACTCTTGTGTATAATTTATTTTTGTTGTACTTTTATTGATGCATGTATGATATATATATATATATATATATATATCGCTTTTATACTGAATCATTTCAGTGGTTATTATGACATTTAATATTAGATCATATCGTTTTAATCGAGTATTAATTATTATATAGAATATCGATATAAACATGTTCATTCTCACTATACATGTAAATTCAATGTTTTCATCATCGTCTTTAATTAGAATGACTACAATGCGAATATATATAAATTTTCATTGATATTTTAAGGAGAAAACTATTTTTATATAAAAACCTATTATTTATTCAAATATATTTATTTCAAGAGTCTTTGATGTCACTTTAGACTTGATTTTTTTTTTGAAAAACATTGGTTGTGTACTTATTTTGTTTTTTGAAAAATGACAACAATTAATACTTTAATCTTGGTAATTTCTGTCATTTTTTGTCATTTATTATATGTAACGTCTCAAATTTCGGGTCAGTAGTTTGGGTCAATTCGAGACTCATAAATTTAATCCAATGGACCTATTAAAATATTTTAGACCAAATTAAGTTGAAAGTGGGTTTGAGTTGGGCTCCAGAGTTGGAAAATGGTGATGATTTTAATTTGAGATAAAAAAGAGCGACCAAAAGTCAATTTACCCATTGCTTAAATCAAAGGATGAAAACCCTTTATTTTATGTGGTTGGTTATCACATGAACCACCCCTATTTCCTTACCAAAGATTCTTCCTTTCCCTTTATCTTTTTGTCTCATTTTCTTCTCTCAAGTTTAAGACAAAGGAGGAAACTGTAAGAATTTCAAGCTTAGTTTGGGTTAACCAAGGTAAAAATATTAATCTCCATCCTTTAATCTTCATTTCAAGCACTTGATTTCGAGTTTTGGTCATAGTTTCAAAAATGGATTTTAGGGAGGTTAAGATAACCGTGTGATTCTAGCTTATTTTTAGTAGATTTAAGTTATGTAGAATATTCTTAATTCTAGTCCAAGCCTCCTGATAAGTTAATAACTCATTTTATTGCATTAAATTAGAAAAGGAAGTGGGGGAAGCTCCAAATCTAGATGAAAAAAGAAATTAACCATTGGTTGATTTCGGAAGAGATTTTAGCAGCTAGAACACAAGGTAACACATTCACAACTTATTCATACCATTTGTGGATCATTAGTAATGCATTTTAGATTAAGTGTTGAGTTTGAAACATGTTAAGTAGTTCATGGTAAATTCTATGTTTTGGTGTTATAACATGTTTTAAAGCCTTATTTATGACCCATTTTTATCACATAATACTTAATTAAAGATTATGAACCTCAATAGGACGATTTAGGTGAGTTTAAGTGTCTAATTCGTGCCTAAATAGGGCATTTTCGAGGTTGAGTACCTGGATTGGAAGAAAAGTATCGATATTGTTCTTATGAGAGACAAAAATCAAAGAGTTTTATGAGGGCGGTAAAGGAGTATCGATATTGGGGTCCCGGTTTCGGGTCCCAAGGGGTTAGTATCGAAACTATTTTTCCAATGTTCAATTTTGGTATCAATATTCATGGGAGTATCGATACCAGAGGTATGTATCGATATTCATATCAGGAGTATCAATACTACTCCTTTTCCCTTTAATAAAGTATAGCAGTAGAGTATCGATACACTGGGAGGAGTATAAATACTCTAGGGGCAGTATCAATACCAAGAGGCTTGGTATTGATATCGGTGTACATTTTTTGACATGAAATTCAAGGTACTTTAAAATAGAGATGAGGTTTCCCAAAAGCTCTATAATTACTTTCAAATAAGACTACAAATGAGGACCAAAGATAATGTTTAATTAACTTTAGGAACGAGATGAATTTAGGGTGACATAAAACTAGCATTGTTTGAATACTCGGGAAATGATGAGGACACCTCGGTTACTTTAGTAAATGATACTTGATAGCTTGAGCATTTGATGAACCCGTTTAGAATGACTTAGTTGTTAGTGTGACACTCGTCTAGTGATCTCAGTGTTTGGAATTTGTTTCCTTACACAAATTAGAAGGTGGAGCATTCGAGGAGCCTTTTGAGTAGTCGAGATCCAGACCGAGTTCAGAGCATAGTACGTCTCGAGTATTTCTTTAGAGGGCATGTATATTCATACACCTGTTGTGTATTTGAGTCGTAACTTTATTTGAAAAGTTGGTATTTATATTTTGATGTATTTATTTTGGGAGCTCCCCGATGTAAAACTTTATTTATATTTTATAGATGGATTTCTTTATTGAAATGGTTATTAAAATGGCCGTTTTTATTAAGAAATTAAGAAAAATTTTGGATTAACCACTCCGGTAGTTCCTTGTGGCATTCTAATCGTTCGACTGTGTGTCGTACTGGTTTAGGGTGTTACATAATGTGTACGAATAGCTAATTAAACTTAATTAGTAGCTTATGTTATTGATTATGTTATGAACAATGATGTTTTACTAATGTTGAAAATTTAATGATATTCTAAAATATTTCTAATTTCTTATTTGTTAAAGTTTACATGTTTACAACGTTCAACTTTCGGGAATGTTTGCATCAACCGAATGATCTAAGTGGTTAAAAAGAATGATTGTTATTCATAGATGTTCCGAATTCGAACACCAACGACTGCAGGGTATTTGAGCGTTCATTATCAAATGCAAATATTAATACATTTCATAACACGTTACAACAAAAATGATTAACACATTTCATTGAAATCACTCCAAACAGACAAAACACTACCATATTCACATAAATCATAAAACTTCCCTATATTCATAAGCCAATAAAATTATCAACTCTCAAATCTCTAATGCAACATTAACCCAAATCATGGCATAACCCTACACAACATTTTCCATCTAAAACCAAATCCTAAATCAGAAATTACAATAATCTTTCATTATCCATTTCTAAACCTAAAGAATGTTATTTAAACAACACCACCAAGGTAAAATATCCAACACCATCCTTTCATTCTCAGTAGTTTGTTAATTTTAGAATCAAACCACTCAAAAAAGAATTACAAACTTTTAGCACAAAAAATATTATGTACGAATTATGTAAAATTTAACTCCTTCGTAATTCGATAAGACATTTACAATGACAAAATAAAATAATTCTTTTGTTATCCAAATGAATGGTAACATGTCATGGACATGTTAATTTCAATGAAAAAAATGGCATGAAAAATAAAAAAATGACTCACATTAGCATCGTCGTTGAAGTTTTAACGATCGGTGACTAAATTTAAAAAAAAAAGTAATGTTAATGACTAAATTCATAGAAAAAGAATTTGATTACTAAAATAAAATAAATAATTTAATGACCAATGATGAAGTTTACGCAAATTTTTTTTTAAATAATCTGGTATTAGTATATAACGGTATATGTTTAAAGATAACTCTCAAATTTTTTATATTGATCGCTCACACCTTTATTATCTATGATGATCAAACTTAGATCCTAAAAGAATAACAACAATTCATTTACTACGAAGATCACTCTAATTCATGCCCAAAAATTTATTCTATACTTGAAAATGGGAGACTATATTTTCCCTCTAAAGGGGAAAAATTTGGACACATTGTGTATATAATTGGAGCTCGTGACGAAAACGCTATATACTAAGTGAGTGTTTGATCGGGTCGAATCAAGTTGAGTTAAAAAATTTAGAGTTAACGAGTCATATTTTACAATTCGGATTTGATTTGAAAATTTTTCGAGCCAAGTTGAGTTTATAAATTCGTGTCGAGTCGATTTTTTATTTAAATTTAATTGTAAATATTTATAATATTTATTATATTATTTGATTTCAATTTACGTGATTTTCTATAATTATATATACAATACAAATATATTTTTCATATTTTGTTTTGATATGTGATATAAATATATCATACAAAGTCCAATGGCTCAACTCACACTTGAAAATAAATCTACTAATTACTAAAAATTTCGAATTATTCGAGTTATATTTTACAATTCGATTTGAACTTAGATTTTTTTTAGTAAAATTAAGTTTATAAAATTACAACTCAAAGTCAATTCAAATTGAATTTTTTCAAATCAATTCAAAAAATTCGATTTTTGGAATCGGAACGATTTTTGCTCAAACTAACTAACAGTCAAATTTTCCATCGTTAAACTCCCTTCTTCAGTAGCCACTTTCAAAACCCACCAAAAGAAAACCGTCTTCCATTTCGCAACAAACCAATGGCGGCTCAACCCAAACGAGGCGGAGTTTCCCTACCCGAGAGGGGATCAGCTTCCAAGCCCGAATCCAGCATCCTCGCCCGGATCACTTCCTCCCCCATCGTTTCTCGTGGTAAGCAAGCCGCAAGCGACGCCGCTTTCGTCTCCAAGAAGCTCATCCACAGCACCGGGAAAGCCGCCTGGATTGCTGGAACAACATTCTTGATCTTAGTTGTCCCTTTGATCATCGAGATGGACCGTGAGCAGCAGTTCAATGAGCTTGAGCTGCAGCAAGCTAGTCTCCTCGGTGCCCCGCCCACTGCACCCGCCGGTAAGTAATCGGGTCGGATTGTGTCATATCATGTCAGAGCTTGTTGGCTTTATCAGTTTTCAGCCATGTTTCAAGCCATTACAGTCCAAAACCTTTTAGATGTAGTTTAGGAGTTTAAAATTTTACCCTGTTTTTAAGCTTGAATTTCCTATGGAATGTTATTGGATTTGGTTTTATCAAGTTTATGCTTGTGTGTTTCATGTTAAATAACCTTTCGAATGAAAACCAGTTGGTGGTGGATTTTTCTTTTAATCTTTGATTGCAAATATGATCTTTAGTATCATTGGGATATTAGTGATGAATAGCTTTAACTTGAATGTTACGTGAAAACTGCCTTACATCATCAGTTATTCAGTTTAGAAAAATATGGA